CAACATGCAGTTGGATAAAGAACATTTCTGTGTGGAAAACAGTTGGCACTTTTTCTTGATTGTAAAGTGGAGATAAATTAAATCAGTAGGTGATAGGAGAAGGGTGTCATATGTGTGAATTTTAATCAAGAACCCTTGTTTTCAGAAATTTTGTGTTCACAATATGGCAATACCATATCATCCTCTCTGAATTTCTTCAGTTTCTTTCATGTATTGCTTTATGATTAGAGTATGTGTTCCTCACCTGCACCTGCAATACCACTTTCATTTGTGGGCTGCCTGCTGCAGGTAAAATCCACGCAGACTTTTGTGTTGTAGGGTCCTTTGCAGTGCTGTCTGGCAACTTATGTTTCACTTAGACTTGGCTTCGTGATATGTTTGTAGCAGCTGTTTCAAAAAATCTGGTGCAGAATTAGCAGAACATGCTCTTCTGGAGCTTAACAGATTCCTTTGCTATTGATACCCAGCATATGTGGGCACTTGACTTTGGAATATCTTTGTATGAGATTCTGGTTGACTTAATTTACAACTTCTACTTTTAGCAGGAAAATAATTGTTAGTCTCCTAAGATCTGAGTGATGTAACTTAAATCTTTTAAAAATGTTTGAGACCTCAGTCTTACTCTGCTTGTGTTACCTTTGTTTTTTGTTGGGTTTTTTTTGAGAGGTCCTCTTATGAAGAGCAGAGGGGTGCATAACTGTGCAAAGGAGAAAAAATTCCAAAACCTATGGTTTTCATACAGGCAGAGAGTTTGCCTAATTCAGAAGTGTTGCCATCACTTTAGAAGCGCAGCCCAACCTGTGGATAAAATCTAGAGATAGTGGAAAAACATCATTTCTTCCCTGAAAGCCAAAAATAGAGAGTAGTAAAAAGAAAAATTTTCATACATCTGGACCCATCAGTGGCAATTGTGTGTTTAAAGAAACAAATTACAGTTTTGAATTTCTTGCAGTAAATAGTCTTTGGAACTTGGAAAACTTTTTAGGCAAACATTTAAAATGGTTTAAAGTTTCAAGAAACTTGCCGGGTTAAAATATTTTGTGTGATGCAACTCTTGGTGGCTTTCTGATTCCTGATCTGGTGCTTCAAGGGAAATGCTACCCAGTGTGGGTGCAAAGCATCACTCATGGGTTAAGAATAGAAGAGATCCATTTTTGCTCCATTTCTATGGTAACTGAAATGTCATCCGGTTTCATTGCATCTAGTACACATTCAAACCAACACTTCTTAGATGGGTTCTCAGACTACTTCCATTCCTCTCAGTCATTTAACACAAAACCTGCATCTCTTCTGCTTGTTTCAAGATCAGTTTTGCTTCTCATGGTGTAAAGATTACCTAGTATGTARTACTCGCAATCCAAATTCTGCAGCTTTTTGTCAAGGGAACAAACTTAATTAAAGCCATTAAATGATGTCCACTACCAGGATCCTTTTACAAGTCTTTTCCTCTCATCTTGTCTTTGTTGTACTTTTTGTCACCCCCTACCCTCTTAGTAAAASGGGAAGTGCTTTGGACAGGGCAAAAGGGGGAAAAGAAAATTTCATTGCAGGTTTTAATTATCTTTGTCCATTGATACCAAATGTCTCAGTGAGTTGACCTAAACTATCAAAAAAGGTRACAGTCAAGTTAGCTAATCATAATATGAACCTTCTTCTGTTTCCTTCCTGCTCGGAGAAGTATCCACAAGGAGCACAAATACAGGACACATGATTCATTGCAGTTAGGCTGACCAAGTTGGTGCATGTATTTGTTCTGTCAGAAACGTCTTGAAAACAGTGTTTTAGATGGTGCAAATACTCAGAGGTGTGTGTATGTTGAAGTTCTTTCCACTAGCTCACAAACATTCATTTGTTTTATAGATGACCTTTATAGTCACTTCTCATTCCTACTCATTTATAGGTTAGTGGTGTAACTATGTTCTACAGGAAATTATTTGTGGTATGAAATCAAGCAATTTGAGGTACGGGTGAAGCCTAGTGTGATTAAATTTTGCTGAGCTCTCTCAGCTTTTAAAATTTCTTTTTAACACAAAGTTTTCATGTGTCTTCCCCCTTGAAAATCACCATGATTATCTCAGCAGATCAGCCATCGCCTCTCTGGCCCTGGAGAAGACAGGKGCCACTTCGCAAGCACAGTACTTTTATCTCCCAGAGCACAACCAAAATCAATTCTTCACCACAACGAATCAGTCATGCAGGGAGGCTTCTGAGTTGCACTAGAAGCAAGCATAGAAAACCACGGATGGTACACGGGGAAATTGGCATAGCTATGCCTTTAATTTCTTAGTAGTAGGAGATGAATATGCTGCTTCTCAGTTTCTTTCAAATTAAATCAACCGAAGAATCAATCTTGTGTATTAATTCTTACTGTTTGTAAAACAGTGGTATCACTTGTGTTCTTGCAGGACAAGGCCTCAAAAAATACAACTTAAAAACAAAATCCTGGCAAAGCTAATATTTAGGTTGTCCTCTGTAAAAGCTTTGTAACCTTTCCAGGCATGTTCCCCTACTGCTTTCTCCTGTTTTATATTCCTCATGAAGAGATGATTTTTTACAGTGCACCCATTCCCCTTACACATTCTGAGTGGTCATTTTGGTTCTGGCTGAGGCCATGTCTACCAGAGCAGCACATACCAATAGGAGCAGCTGTATAGGAGAGCAGAACAGTTGCTGTTGGGGAGCCATGATGTGCATCACATGTCTTGGGATCTGCTCCTGACTGGCTCGCCTGTTTCATTGCCCTCAATGTTAGCAATGGGAGGGCATCAGTTAGTCTTCTACTTCAGCTTCATCCAAAAAAAAGTCTAATTTGTGCACTCCACAGTTAGTCTGAAATTAAAATTAAATCTTGGTAAGTGGGAACTGGTAAAATTGTTTCAAAAGCCTTCTCAGGATCCAAGCTAGAACAGTGATGTAAATGCAAGCTGGGTACTCCGGCAGGGGAAAAAATAACCAACCAACCAACCAACCAACCAACCAACCAACCAACCAACCAACCAACCAACCAACCAACCAATTTTTGATTTCCTCTCACAGTTGTATTTGTGGTCTTAATATAGCAAAGCATTTAAATTCTGTTCCATTGCTTCATAGAGCTCTCGGGGGTGGGCACGTGTCAGGGGGTAACACGCTGATGGCCTCTGATAAGGAACTCACTTAAGATAAGAGCCGGGTTTGGTGGCTGTGCAGTTTAACCAGTGGTTACTGGTTGACTAACTGATGATTAGTGGAGRATCATTAACAGTCATTCACAAGATCCAGTGCTCTGTTACTGGCATGCCAGTGATCTTACCAACAAGTAAAGGAGTAAAATAAGTTGCATCAAAACAAAAGTTCAATTTTCTGCAAAATTCATAAGCAAGAAAAATCTGAAACGTTTGGGTTTGTCTACGTCTTCTCTGCATCAAAACTCATCKAAAATGAAGAAATCATGGATGTATTGTTTGGATACATAAATTTGGCTACTTTTTTTTTTAAAGGGGGATAGGGGCAGCTTCTGCAGCCATTAAACAATTCTAAATGTTTTAATTGGAGCATTGTGTTTTCATTTAGCTCTCTAGTTCATCTTTCTGTGTCAATGTCACAGCATACTGCAGTACTAGATGGTGTGAATACAACAATATGTTTTACAGCTGGAATATTTTATTTGATTGATTTTGTCAAATTCTTTGGAGTTAGAGAATTTACTACTAGTTTGACATAGATCAGACCATAGTAGTTAGCTATTGTTACAGAATTTTATGTGTTCCTCCTCATCCTAGCTACTCATATGATGCAACAAGGTATTGAAACATGCTGAAAGTCTTTTTTGTAATAGGGAAAAGGTGCAGGGCAAGATTAACTGTGTTTTGGGCTTGCTGGCTAAACCCAATGATTTATTCTCATAGTTGCGGCTCTGATTCATAAAGATTTCATCTGTAGCTACATTTTAATAGTAGCTAGCCCAATCGAGGCTTGTACCTTCGTGTCTTGAGTCTGTGTGGTCTTGCAATCTCATTGCCAAATAGAAATAGAGATCATTAAAAATGAGACTGAATGAAGAAATGTTTCACTTGAACTCAAGTAGTTTCTTAGCTGTTAAACTCAATTTTGCACAATACACCTCAAACTGAGATACTGATACTATGTTCCATGGCTTTTTTTTTTTTTTTTTGAGTACAGGCATTTTTCAGAGATTCGCATATGATGACTGTCCACTGCATGAATTGCTCTGTGTAAGCTCCCTGGCTCTGGTCTAAGAAATGAGGATAGGGTTTTCTTGTTTTTCTCCTTTGGATGCGATGCTTAGCTGGAGGCAGGCAACCAAAGTGGCTTTAATTAGAGAAAGTCTTTACTGCCTCTATTTTTTTTTTATTTGTGTGTTATTAGAGTACTAAAAAATGAAGCTCTGACACTGAAAAATGGGAAGCAGAGTTTAAGCAATTCTTGCCTTCTGTCACACGATATAGGAATCAAAAGAGTCCCTAAGCTGTCATTTTGCCTTACTACTCCACCCCTTCAGCTCACCGTCAAGAATTGTGCTGACTGGAAGTTCTCTTGAGTGGTTCAGAGTTCAGTAAAGATGTGTCTGTGGCTAATCCTGATCAAACTCAAGGCACTGTTTTGAACATAGCCACAAACAGCGACATGATGGCATGCAAATCAGAAATTCCCTGTCAGTGGTTTCATAGTCTATTCTAATGCGCTTTGATCCTTAATTCTTGTTTTGAATGACTAAACCTCAAATTCAGTCTTTCCCACCATGATTTTAGTACAAAAATAGGCAGAAGTTTACAAACATTTTGTTGGCTTAAATGTTAGGAGTCTGTGCTYGTCTAATGTACCTCCAGGTAAAAAGGACAGTAACACCAGTGTCTTGGTGAACCTCAGTACTTGGTCTCCTTTTCTCAGCACTGTTGAAATACCTTACAGTATTCTTCCTGTATATGTTTCTACATTTATGACACATACTGATTTTGTCTTTTCAACATATCTCAGATTTTTTTTTACCTTCCTTTCAGAAAAGACGACGGCGGATTGATCGAAGTATGATTGGGGAGCCAACAAACTTTGTTCACACAGCTCATGTAGGATCAGGAGACCTATTCAGTGGAATGAATTCAGTAAGTATGAGTGGATGAATGTCATTTCATATTAGGCAGAATTCAGGAACACTGTGTATGTATATTGTAGCTGAAGCAATGAGTCTTTCAACTACAAGGAAGAATCTGTAKGAAACTGAGGAACAACCTGACAGCATTTTAATTTCAAGTCCTAAACACTTGCATTCAAGAATATGGATTTTTTAAAAAAATCCTTTATTTATTGATAGTGCATTTTAGATACTGTATAAATTATATAGAACATTGAAAATTAAAAATTCATTTTGATTACATATATGAACCAAAATAGATGTATACTTGAAAATATACTCAGCTATTATATAGAAAACTTACAGTTTTGTAGTTGACTAGATTTCTTGCCTTTAATGCCTTAAGCTGTTTTAAATATAGTTCATATAAAACTCTAACCTCAGTTTAGTGTGCACAAAGGTTTATTTTTGGGTGTTCTTGTTGAGCTTTTTCTATATTCTGTAGCCCTGTTTGCAGTGTGAATTATTTTCAGAGTAAGGAATGTCATRCGTAAGGTTTTGTGGCTTCCTGTAGATGATAGGAGTAATCAATATTTTTTCACTCTGAAAGTGAAAAACCAAGGCTAACATAAAGATAATGAAAATGAGTTTATGGAAATAGATGTATCTTTTACAGCTTCAAATATCTGTGAAATGTCAATCTGCTTCTAAGGTCAGTCATACAAAATATAGAAAATGGTTGTGTGTAGATAATGATGAAAAATATTTTTTGACTTTGATGATCATCTTTAAAGGGAAAGATATTTGGAGATGAAAAATGTTTGTTGACAAAGAAGAAAAAYCTCTGTCAGAAGCATCAAAATAAGAAGCAGAGCTAAAAAAGACAGTTTCAATGCAAACAAGGGAAGTAGTTTGTAGTTTCAACTGGTTTAAGTTGGTCTTATTGAGACAAAAACTTTTCTAACTCAGCATGTAATGGGGAAGAGCAAAGCTAGAAAAATTGACATAAAAAAATAGTYTACATTTTCCCAGAAACAACATAGTGTACTGGAAATTATTTGAACTAAAACTTCTATAAGCAAGTTAAATGGCCAAACACAGATTCAACTTGATAAAATTTATTAAAGCAAATTACTTACTTAATGCAGTGTATTATGTTAAYATTTAAAGCCAGTATAAATTGAAATAATAAACTGATAATTAAGTGAGCAGCTTGTTTGATTTTCCTTTTTTTTTTAAAGCATGTCTTTTGCATTTTAAATATTTGTTGTTTCTCCTGTGGGAACCTTCCTCATTCTCATAGCTGAGCTGCCTCATGTGAGGTTTGTGAAGATTGCCTGAAGCTTTGGTTTTTTCATCTTGCACTTTTTGCCTGTTTGCCCTCACCTTTGTCTTGCATAATACTCAATTTATCTCCAGGTAGTAGGTAGTCATTATTGTCACTCTGCATGAACTTTTWAATTTTGAATGCCTGTAAGTAGCTCTTTCTCACTTTTTAAAAAATTTGGATAATGTGCTGCATCTGTGAGCAGGGAGATTTTTCTGATCCTAGATGGAAACTATCTGTATGTAAAAAAAAAAATATAAAGTCATTCCTATATGTAAAAAAAAAAAAAAAAGAAAAATCCTCTGCTTCAGAAGCTCAAATTTCTGCTTTTTCACACTATGTATTTTCTGCATCTTCTGTGATGGCCTCCATGTTTATTCTTCCTTTGCAGTGTAAATTCCAAAATTACAGTGTTAGCCTTCACATGTTTTTCTGCTGCCTAATTTCCTTCATAATATGGACACATTGTATTCCTTCAGGAACCTCACTATGCCTTCTTYTCTAAATAGCTTGGGTGAATACCTGCAATTTAATTACTTTTACCCATTTAGATTTGGCTCTTCCTCCACCTTCTGCCTGCCTTGTGCCTTTTTTCACCAACATTATTCTTTGTAATATATGATTCTGACTGAACAGTTTTCTGACTATTCAGAGTATTTCTGAAATATTTTCCTTTTTTGTTTGGCTTCTCTGTAGAGTGCCTTGCTCCTTTGTCAAAGGTGCACTTAAACAGCAGGAGCCTTTCTGCACTGTTTCTTTCTCATTCCCACATCTTTTTTTCCTATTTTGCTTAATATTCCATTATACAATCCTTCTTCTCTTCCTTTCTTCATATTCTTCACTTTTGTGTTTGAGTTAATGAATTTCATGTCGTTTCCCACTGTTTTCTTTCTCAAGGTCTATCTGTGCTGTTTCCTAATTCTGAAACGGAGGGAAAGAAAGGGAAAGAAGGAAATTTAATGAGATAAATAAGCAGCAAAACAGTTTGCATGATCCTTAATTGGTAGAATCCTCTTTCCCTTCCAAAATCTGTAAATCCTTAAGTCCAATCTAAATTAGACATAAGAGAGAAGAATCTTGATATATCATCAGAGAAAGGCAATGGCATCTTTGGGAAAGAAAAAAAAAATGCATTTCACAGTCCTTGTTCTKCTTGCTCAAATGGCTTCAAAAGGAGGGTACTTCAGAAAGAATGTCACCTTGTAAGCCTTTGCAAATGTTAGATCTTTTTGCTCAGTGGCTTTCACATTGTATGTCTCCTACAAAAAAAGTTTTCATACACAAAATAGCCACTGAACTGTTAATGCAGACCAGTTTCATTTGTTGCATTCTCTGTTTCAAGGACAACAGTCTGTGCATTTGAGACCAATACTTCCTCATCTCCTAACACGAACATTTTCTCTCTCAWAAACTGGAGAAATTATTCTAACTTTTAGAAATACTCAGAAAAATTTGCACTTTAGCCTAGCAATTTGTGTTGATTTGCTCCCTTCCAAAATTTTCAAGTGTTGTAAGCAAATTGTCAGGTTCTGAAAGGTAATAAGGCCTGGAGGTTTTTCTAGTTCTTTTTCACTGGAGTCAGAATTCATTCAGATGAAATTATTGGCACCCTAAAGTCACTCTGATGAATACATTTRCATGTAGATTAATTACTTTTTGAGGGGAAAAAAACCCTATTAAATTCAAACTTCATTTGTTTCAATGGGTGACAAAAGACACTTGGTGAAGATGATGAGCAGCTTGGTAAAATGGAAAAGTTCTTGAATACATCCCCATGTACTTCTGCACACTTTCTTACTGAGTTTGTAGTCTTTGATGTCAGATGCACCAGAAAATTGGCTCTGAACATTTCTCCCTGAAGAGAAATCAGATAGTAATATTGCTTTGCTGTGGCTGTATCACTTATTTTAGCAAAAGGCCGAGGTATGAAATAGTTTTACRTTGTACTGCTTAAATACATAAAACCACAATCTTTTGCACAGCAGTGCAATATGCCATAGTGTTGAAGATAAAGATCAAAAAACAGGCTCTTTTGTCTCATAGGTTTGAAAAACRGTGGAGGAATGAGTTTGCTGATTCATTTTGTATGAGTGCATGTGTTTTGCTTGCTGTGGAAAAAGAATGTACTTCTTTTGTCTTTGCAGACAGGGAAAACATCATGCAAGCTGCTTGGAAATGTTTCTCCTGTTGTGTTGTATTACAGCTTTCCAGTGATGTTTTTAGGTCTCTGTGAAGGAGGATCGTAGATGAAATAATTGCAAGTGGTGCCCTGCAGGCATAGCCTTGAATGARTGTTATTTTCCGCTCATTGTGTGGTTGTTGTGTATGCTCTGGGATGCAGAGAAAAAAAGGCCAAACCTTTAAGATTATAGTTGTCTTCCTGCAGGCACTTGGACATGATTATTTTGACTCATGCAACCGAAGCAGGAAAGAGCTGTGGGTTCCCTTTCTGTTCRGTGATAGAGGCAGTGAAAGTCATAGCAGGATGTGCATGTCTTGGAAATGGGGGGCACAAAGGGTGGGTCTTCATGTATTTATTTGCATCGGGCTAAAAATATCCTCAAATCAGCCATGTTCAGGGAAGTRCAGATTGACTGTGATTTAAACAATAAATGCCCTGCCATTTAAAGGAACAGTAGCAATTAAGGAAAGCATTGTATGTGGTTACATAAATAGATAATTTGAAAACATTCCGCAGTCAARAAAGTCCTTTTTTATTCAGAAAATCCTAGTTTAGGCCTGTTTTAATGGTCTGAAATTAGCCATACAGAAATTTGTGAGCTGTCTATTATGCTTTTAACATAATAGTGTTAACTGGTTCATCATAGTTGCCAAAGAGCATTTTCCATATAACAAGAGAAATTATAGTTTGTCACGTAGAGTTGATGCCAGTAAGAGATTTGATTTTTTTGTTTTTTGATTAATCCAAGTGGGTCAGTGAAATCCTGACTCAAGCAGTTTTCTTTGGGYGGGAGGAAAAACTTTTGCCTCAGCACCAGTTCTTTCATCTCTTCTGCTGAGCTACGTGCCAAAGTTAAAATTCAGCAAGCCTTGGATACATGCATCTTTGTGCAAAAGTAATGTAGCTTTCTTGGGAATAAACGAGCACTTGAAAACTAAATCTAAAGAAGAAATAAGATTAGAAGCAACAAGATACCACAGCTCACTGTCATTCTTCTTTCCTCTGTTCCACACTCCCCGCCCACCTTTTCCCTTTTATCTCCAGGTCAGCTCCATTCAGAATCAGATGCAATCCAAGGGAGGYTATGGAGGTGGCATGTCTGCAAATGTTCAGATGCAGCTCGTAGATACGAAGGCAGGATAACCTTGGGGATAACTTTCCAGTAAGTATTGCTCTCTACTTTTTATGCACTTTTCTTTTTTTTATGAAGAACCATCATACTGCTTCATAATTACCTCCCTGTAAAAATCGGTGTCTTTATTATGACCAATTTTAAAATCTATTTCTGAGTAAAAAATTACATGTTACATAAGAAAGTTAGTTTTTCACACAATAAACAGGTGATTGTTCTGATTGTATCAGTCTTCCTTAAGCATATTTTAACTGAAGATGATGTTGTAGACTAATCTTTGCAGGTGAAGTTAGTTATAAAGCAAATCTCAGAAGAATTTTGTGATACGAGTATGGTACCATTTTCGTAATGGTTCCATTAGATGTATGGTGTTAAATCAATGTATAGCAGTGTTACAGCTGGAAAACAGTCACTCAGCATCCTCAAAACTTGGTTTAATACATGTTTTCTGTCTTCTAGGTTTATGTGAGTTCCTGTATCTTCTTTCCTGTGTCCTCCCTTTTGCCTTGGTGACTGCTTTCTGTGCTCATGACAAGAGACGTGATGGCTCATTGTTCACCCTTCGTGATTAGTCCAGTGAAAAGTTGCTGTTCTGCTCTGATGATGCCATTTATCAGATTGGTCCGATTGTGCCTTTCAGTGGCATGCACGCATTGGCCTCTACCTGTATCATTGATGTAGAGCTGTGTAGGATTGGTTGTCACTTTTTGTTTGTTTTAAGGCAAATTAAAGCACCAACCTTAGCTTTCCTCATTCCTCAGAAATACTAATGCACAACATTCTGTTGCTTTTTAGCCTTTTAATCTTTTCTCTATTCAAGTCATTTAGAATGAGTTTCCATTTTCCACTAATGTCTTCAGTCACCTAATGTTACCCATTTTTGAAAGGTCTGAGACCTGCAAGCACAAATAATTATTTCATACAAAATCAACAGAGTAGATGACCGCATGCTTTGTGAAGTTGCTTTGTATGGTGGCCTGCTTGGTGCTAAAAGAAAAAAAAAAAAAATTGCTTACTGCAGATGTGAAAAATTTTGCTGTGGCACCAAGTCATGCCTGTTTCTGAAAAAAGACTTGTAACTTAGCTGCTTCAGAGTTATGTCTTTATTTTAGTTTTTCTCCAATTGGTCTTGAAATAATAAAGAGAGAGCTTGCATTCTTGAGGCATTTGTTGTAAATGTTCAGTATATTTATTTTGAAAGAGCTGACCTTGAGACTGTAAACCAGTGTAGTACCGTATCTTAAGTGTTGTGGAATCGCTTTAGTCTATTTAAACAGAAGAGCAACATGTTTGGCTGCTTCTTTTTCTTTCTACAGTTTCTCTTAATTTTAAGCTGTACGGTCATTTCCAGTAGCAGCATGTCAGACTGCCTGCAATATTGGCTGAAAAGTTTAGTAGACCTTTCTAAGTAGTTGGCAGTTTCTGTGTACTAAATATTTGGGGGCCATGAAAGTTGCTAAKAGCGACATACTAATCTGGCAGAACAGGTGCCAATGAAAACAGCATACAGGGTGACTTTTTACTAAGTCAGTAAAATGCCTTTTGCTCAGGTTCCAAAGCATGTTTCTTTCACATGTTGTGAAACTGCATTTTAATATTGCACTGTTTTCAGATTATCTCTGTAAATGGTCCCTTTTTTTGCGCCTTGCTGGTGATTTTAGAGAAGTCAATTATTTGAGGCCTGGTTACATTAAATTTTTATGTGGAAAAAAAAAACCCCAAACCATCCAAACAAATAAGGCATAACTGAGCCTAATCAAATTCATTTTTATATGCAGACACACACATGTAGACTGTTGTCATAAATGATTCTTTATTCTAATTCTATCCTTTCCCTGATTTCACATTGCAGCAGCTGTCTGGTTGATTTAAATATGTGTGAACCTACCTAATCTTCTCTCTCTGTTCATAAACAGCAGGTAAAATACACAGCCATGGAGGTAGTTYGCCTTCCTTAAGTTGTATTTCAGTGGTAGATGTCACTTACCTGGTTGAATAGTATTCACTGATTAAGATACTGATTCCTGATGAGATGTTCAGTTGTCTGGATGCGTAAACACATGGCAGTGCAATGATGTGTTTTTTTAGGGGATAGCATTTCCAATGCCACTTTAACAATGACTCTTAATTATACTACAAAATTATTACAAGATTATTTGATCTTTGCATTGGTAATAGCAGCTTAAATTTGCTTGCCAAACCTATCTTGCACTTGCCAAAATGTTTTCAGCTCAATAGCCAGGAAGAAAAATTGACATATTTTTATAACAGACATACTTTTTTTGTACATTGTGTTCATTCTTGAATAAAGTTAGTTCAGTGTTGGCTTGTAGATATTAAAAGGAAAGTATTGACTTTGATTCAATAAATGTTTTCTTTCAGTTGGTGGCCTACCCTTTTTCTTCTCCATAAATCACTTGCATCTTAAAGAYAAATTTGTGGTGAAAAGAGTAACCTGTTAGTGTCAATAAATAATTTGCAGCTTGAGTTTCTTTTCATGTCACTTGACCCTTTTGTTGCCGAATGGATTAAACCGTAATTTTACCAGTATTATTGTTGCATTGATTTAACATGTATGYCAGGGGCTTTTGCAAGGAAGAGAGAGTTTCTTAAAAAAACAGATTGGAAATCTTTCMTTTTGACTGCAGCTCATAGGTGTGTTACTTTCCTGATTGTGCTGCAGATGTCTGTGGTGATCAGTAGGAGACTTGTCACCAAAATAGTCATCTGCAGTAAAAGTACCTGCAAGGTAYAGCATTGCCTACTCTGTGTTTGGCTCAATTAATTTTTATATTTCATACTCTCAAACTATATTCCTTAAGCACTAATTTACTGTTTTAAATTTCATGCCAAGTTCTTCTAAATACTGATAATGAATTCTTCATCTCATGCCAAGTTTGTTAAATTGCCAGTTGAGGGRAAAAAAGGCAGCTAGGAAGAAGTAAGGTTCTAAAGGAAAATAAAGATGGAGATAAATCCAGGAGATACCAATCTGCTAAAGGGTTATTTTCTTTAAATGCTGAGGTTATAGAAACTTAGGATTTGAAGACCAGATGTTCCACTGTAAGCGCATATTCAGGAACTGACATTAAAGCTTATTAAAAATTATGTGCTGGTTCTGCCAATGGACCGCTTCAAAGGCATACCAGTGAAACTGATTTGGACTGGTCCCATCTGCTTACTCTTACAATCCATGCAAGCACTGGCACTGATTCAGCTGCTCAGCTGATGCTATTGGGTACTGACCTATAGTAAAGGTTGTGTTTTTATGACCAAATTGGTTAGTTTTAACCTGGATCAGTTTCTTGATGCTTATTCAGAGTGAGCATGGAGGTGAGTGTWACGGGATCAGAGCTAATGTGTTACGGGAAACACTGATGGCTTAAACTAGCTGTGAAAAATGCATCAAGCTTTCTGATTGTTAAAAAAACCACCCAAAGCAACAAACAAACTAACAAAAACCACTAAACAAACATGGTTTGTGGGCAGAGCATATTAAACATGTTGCCAGAAGATCARCCACCAGTATCATCACCAATAGACAGCCAACCTCAGGCAGTATGATTAATTTCTGCCATCAGTGATGATTCCATCAACACTTCACAAGGAGTAACTTTCTGCCTTCACACAAGCCAGGAGAAATGGTAAGTTCAGATTTCAAACAAGTTTTCTGTTAAACTCAAAGTGCTGGTTGAGTTGACAATAAATTGCTGAATATCAAACTTGCTTACTTAAATATGATGCAGAATGGTGTAACCCCATTTATGAATTGCTAACTTGTCCTGCAAAAGGTGCATTCATTTGTAATTATTTAAGCATTTGTGTGAACTTTTTGTGGCATTCATTGTCTATAGATGAGTTTAATGTTTGTTGGGGATTTTTTTCAAGAAATTTGATGATGTGTTTTTATATGCAAGTTAGTAATAGAGCCTATTAGCAGAAAATAAAAGTAGAATGTTATGTTTGGTTTATCAGTTCTTTCAAGTGAAGTGAACATCACTTTTGGTCTTGGCTTGCTGTAGAAGGCACTTCTGGTATGCCATGACAGGTGCAAAGCRGAGCTGGAGATCTGCTGGGTAACATTGAAATTAGTTTACTCTGATTTTCCAATATGTCAGAAAGGTTTTGGTATTTGTAAGGATCATGGTAAGTTTTGTTAGTCCAGGAAGTGACTGAGGGTAGGGGCTGTTTAAGCACGGAACAGTGAGACACCTAAGGATATATTTCACATTTCCTCAAAATGCTAAGCAGTAAGAAAGCTTTATATATTGTCAGCRTTCCAGGGGTGCTAGTCTTCTGCCAGTGCTCTGCATGTCAGAGTCCTGGGCATTATCCTTGTTTCCCAGGAGTATGCTTTATGTCACCCATGCTGTGCCGTCAGCTCCTGGAAAGGGTTGTTGGCTTTCATTTTCTTTARTCTCTTCACCATTTGTAAGTTTGTATTGATTTGAAATAACCTGCTAGGCAGAATAAATACATGCCACATTTGTGCCTTTCCTGGTGGGATGTTTCAGGTGAATGACTCCTGCTGATGGAGCAGGGGTGTGAGGAACCCTCGTGCACCACACAGGAGCCTGGGTTTATCTTTTGCACCTCTTCTCACTCACGGTGATCTCTCATCAAATGTGTGAAGCTGGCTGTTGTTGTGCAAGGCCAGTTCTTAAAACATCACCTCGAGGAGGAAAACGAGAATGCTTGAAATTTATTTTTAAATCCTCAGCTTTCTTAAAATGTGGTGAGTAGGGAAACGGCTATTCTGAAACAGTTTTCCTTAGGAAATCATCTTTACAGTATCACTAAAACTTTCAAAAGAATCTTACTCCTTAGAAAAAGAGTACTCTTTCCAAGAGGTTGATGCTAATGTACATTTTGGCACTCCACAGCTTTTTCCAGTWGTCAGAATTTCACCTACTGGAACAGTAACAATAATCTCTTGTATGGTGTATGCATTAAGCAGCAGAGTAATGTGTTGATATGGGGGCATTGTGCAGTGTTTTACTTCATGTTTATGAAGGAGAAAAACATTTCCAAATATGGAAATAAGGAATCAAAAATCACATTTCAGTAAGCAGCACTGGGTTTGGAAAAATGGAGAACTGTGGGTAGGGCAGATATAAATGCTGAGTGACTGAAAAGAAGAAAGTGTAACTGGGGGAGAAGGGTAAATTTTGATAGATGACCAAGCACTGTGTGTATTCCCCATGGCATTCTTTTCAAGAAGGAGCTATTGGCAGCAGCCACAAAAAACAGAGCCCAGTGCAGCAAACTTTGTTCATTTTCCCCTGTTTTAGGTAGTACATTCCAAGTCAATTACTCTTTCTGTAAGTTGCAACAGATGTTTGGTTTCCAGCTGGCATAATCAGGGTGTGTAATAACAGGCACTAGGAGCAGCCCAGGGCAACAGGGCTGCATGGTGAACAAGAGCTGTGAAATGAGATTCTCAGGCAATTTTCAAAGTCTATTAAATATAAACTATTTTTCTTACTGTGGACATACATGGGATGGTGCAATGGATGCCCATGCAGCTTCACCTCTCTATAAAAACTTACTGAGAAGTCTGTTTCCAAATTTTGCTGGAGCTGGACAAAATCAAGATGATACTTGGACCTACTGTTGTAGGACTGACTAAGTCCCACTATTTTATTTTATTTACTAGAACCACCCACTTCTATCTGCTCACATCTGTCTGCAGTTGCACAGATGCTGTTTTCCTCAGCCTGCCAAAAATGCACCCAGCCCAGTCCATGGCAGGGAATTAAATTGCCATGCCATGATTTGGGTTAAGAGCTTCCTTGCTCGTTCTCTGAATCACAGCCAAGGTGCTGGATGTACATGACAGAGGGAAACACTGTGGCTAAAACAACAGCTTTGTAAAACTTTGTATTGCAAAGTTACATGAAGATGGCTGCTTAGTAAAACAATTTTAAGTAGAATTTTCAGCCTTATCAAACACTCTTGCATAGTCTCATAGAGCAAAATTGAACTTTCTGACCTACCTAGATGCAATGGCCCGTACTGTCCCCAGCATRTGTGCTATAAGGAGACAAAATAATTTCTCTAAGAGTGCCTAGCAGTTTCTGAGAGCACAAGGCACCTCTCAGCTGCTGCGTGTGAGTCCTTTTTGGAGCAGCATTTCCACCATCCATCCCACGGCAATGCGGAGACCAGTGCAGCACAGGTGGCACAGACATGGTGTCCCAAGCTGAAGTGCCAAAGCCATTTGGCACGGGGCACTTGCTGCTATTTTTGTCAGTGCTTGCAGTAGGTAAAGCTTGACCCAAGGGCCRTGCCCCCAGCACAGCAGCAGCCCTGCTGGAGGGGCACTGAGGCAGCCCTGGACTCCCCCAGCTTCCCCACACACTATTTGAGTCATTTGCACCACAGGCCTGGGCAGCACTATCTTCCCAAGTGCAAATTTGCACAGTACTGCACTAAGCTAAGAAAATCCTTTTCAAATCAAATTTTCTAAGTAAGGGCGCTTGGTTAACTGTGTGTAAAGAATGTCAGGTCCTTCTGCTCGCTGCTCCCATATGGCAGGGTTATGCCAGCACAGTCAGCTAATGGAAGGGAGCTGGAGACTGGAGCTGCTTGTTATCAATACAATAATCAGAGCTGTTGCTGCTCGGAAAACTCTGATCAAATATGTGCAGCTGCTCATTTGGATAGCTTTCTCACTGAGGAAAGCTATCCACACCCATGATGAAAAGTTCTTCATGGAACAGACATGCCTTCTAAATTTARGCTTCTCTGTAAGTAAGGAATTTCCACAGTCCAATCCAACAAACCATGCTACAGGACCTATAAGCTTCCCCTGCCCTGCCCCATTATTTGCAATATGTTGCAATATGATGTTCACACTACAATATATTTTAAAAGTTATAGTAAATACTCAGGTAATTGGAAAGTGTGCACTGGCCTCCCTGGATGGGAAATTGCTTCAGATTCTCTATTGTCTCATAGTAAAGCCAGGTTCACAGCACTCTGAACAGTTTCCCAACTGAGAAATCTACCGTCCAATCCTCTGATCAAAAAGGAACCTGCAAATGAGAATGGCCTTTCCTAATCAGGAACCATCCAAGAGGATTCTTGGACTGCAAAGAGTTTAGAGGATTTTAAAGAACTATGAATACTTTTCCATGGTTCAGGATCGCAGTCCTTTACTTTTTCCTCTGCAAAACCTTTTGCCCAAATTTTTGGTGCACCACATCATCTGCATTTTTATTCCTGCACTGTGTRCTTCAGTTTTTGGGGCTCTTGAGAACTATTTCTGAAGACCTCATGTGCTAATGGTTCTTTGTTTCAGAGCTGAGGAATGTCTTCATTCTCCCATCACAAATGGCATCATAGCCATATGTCAATGGATTACCAGGACTATGCAGCAGGAGCTGAGGAATTTAAGTGAGACTTGAAAGAGCGAACAGGAAAACTGCCCCTAAACATCTACAATGTTTCTAAAGCAGTAGCTTCAGCAGTGTKCTGAAATTTATTTGAGGGTTAACACCCTCTTAAGGGCAACAGCAGTGCCATGTTTTGCTTTTGTCTCACAGCATCAAATGACAGGCATCCTGTGCCTCATCCTCACTTCAGTCAGTAACACTGAMGGTTACTTCAGATGCACAAGCACACAGGGTATTATACACACTTCAATAAAGAAAAACTAATTTGTTTTTTATTCATAATTACATAAAATCTGCCTTTTTCCCATGAGCTAATTGCCTTGTCCCTTGCCTGTGTTCTGTAGTCAGAAAGATAAGAGTGCTGCAGAAGCAGCAGGGTTAATGAGAGATTCTCTGCTGCTTCAAGCAATTACCACGATGTAAGAAAAAATAGATCCTCTGAGAAAAGTAAAAAGGGTCACAGCATTCCTGTCAAAAAGTCTCATTTGTTTTAATAAAAAGATTTCTTTGAACAAGGACTGCAGGAACTAAGCCAGGATAGGACAACTTGTCTTATCGGAGGTCACTGCAACTTACTATTTCTTTGTTCATTTATGTCAGTAAAAGCACTTAGAGGCATTGGGTGAAAAGAGAAAGAAACTTCTAATAGAACCTCAGATACAGCTTTTGGTGACATCTGTCGCAAATGTTCATTTGTTGGAACACAGGAACAAGGTCTGTCCTCTTCCAAGCTTCTGCAGGAMAGTCCTGTCCTGACCAACGTCTTGACAATGGAAGAAACAGCAAAACACAGGAGGTAAGACTTAGGAACTTACACAGATAGATGGGATAATTCTTTTTCCTCTGATTCCCRTAAGCAACACCTCCAAGGAGAGAGGGGAGAACAACAGAAGGGTGGCTGTCACAGTCATGGCTGCTGCAACTGACAGCTCTGTCCACAAGGGCTTCTCGTCTGGCATTTTGCTCAAATGCAGAATATCAATAGAATATCAATCACATAGTGCCACAGAATATCACCAGCTCCTTGCAAGAGASAGAGCTCTGGCTGTGCAACTTTGCATGGTTTTGACAAGTATTTCTGACTCTATGCCTGCAGATGATCATCAGAGAGGTTGTTTGCAATGTTAAGACATTCCTTTGGTCAGCCCAAATGACACAATAGTGCCACTCTGGTGTAATACCATCTTCAGCCCTTATCTCTGAGAACAGAGGTGTCTAAAACATACCACCCTTCTCATTACAGAGTGATTAATTAAGGGATGCTACTGTGAGCCATGGCACCATGTCCTCCTCAGAGCTAAGTGCTTCAGGTCTCGTCATTTTGCTCCTGTGGTTAAATAAATAAATATTGATTTTGATTGTTTGATGTTCCTTAATCAGCAAGTGGGTTTGATRTTTGCATTTGTGAGTTATGGGAAGCAACAGAAAAATCCCAGCCTGCCTTCAGGTGAAGGTGCGCTAAAAGGTGTGTGCTGCAGAATCAGCGGTTCTCTAAAAAGCCAGATCCACACTGAGGCTGTTCAGCTGACTTGAGGCTGAGCACA